TAGAATATAGATTTAAACTTGGGTCTCACTGCTCTAAAGCCTGCAGGCTCACCACTGCTCTTTGCAGCCTCTCTGTCATTGACTGGGACACTGAATTTTATTCTTTTCCTGGGCCCTAAAAGAATGATAGGCAGGCCTTTGTTCTGCATCCTGGCATTCCTTTCAAAGGAAACAAGCTTATTTTATTCCATTGTGCTTACAGGCTGTCATAAATGTATAAAATTGTAACAAAATACCCGGGGACCTGAAGAGACCTTAATGAAAGGAATATTATGTCAGACTTCACAGGAATGTAACACATCAGGCAGTTAAGAGAGGTCTTTACAAAAAGAGGGGAACAAAGGAGTTCCAGTAATGCTGCTTATCATCCTGCTTGAAACCCAGGAGTGGGCTGAGTTCCTCTTTGGCACCTGCTCGCCTCCATGGTCCCGACCATGGAGACACACAGTGACTTGAGTGCTTTTGATAAGAACATTTAACATCACACTTGCCCTGGCAGAACTCCATCTCCCGTCTTTCCAAGAGACAGGAAATGTGGTCCCTGAGCTCTCTGGTGCTTTGACTCAGTATTCAGTTGGCTAAGACTGAATTATAGCAACACCATTCTGCTGTGCTGTCCAACTTTACTTCCTCTTTTCTCAATCCTTAGAGCCTTTTTTTTTTTCATAATCATTCAGCCGACTTCTCAAAATCCATCTCATACCTGTGAGTGGGAAGTCAGAGTTGACCCTAAATAGGGCTGACTGTGAAGAGGGTAGGCCACGTCTTCACCAGAGTCAAAGGAATTAATGGGAAAGGAGAGAGAGCTGGAGAGGGAGAATATGCACCTGGCCGCTCCCCACCCCGAGACTGGCCCTGAACCACGCCTTGCACTCATCATTATCCCCTTCTATACGACCTGTGCACAGGATGGTCCATTTGATAAGTTAATTAAATTGTTCAGATACTTGAGTGATTTAGTCCTAACATCTTTGTTTTTTGGACCAGGATTCCCAAAGAAATTACCGTGAGTAATATTCACCAGGCCATTTGCAACATTCCTTTTCTGGACTTCCTCACAAATAAACACATGGGGATACTGAATGAAGATCAGTGACCGGAATGAAGATGCCCCTGGGAGAGCAGGGCTCAAAGCTGTATCCGAAACCATGAACTGTGATGACTTTTCTGTTCGGGGGAGGAGGTCATTTTCTGTGTGCCTCAGAATCTCATGGCTACGAAAACATTGTCTCCACCTAATGACACCAGAGTGTTTGGTCCCAGATCGAATCCCTTTAGGACAGAAGTTTGTTTCCTGATTCTGGAGTGAAGCCGTGAGTGGATGCGTGCTCTGTCAGCTTGCAGTTGTTCACTCTCCGCACAGGCTCCATCAGAGTGTGAGTGGGATCAGGCCTTATTTATAAGCCTTTCTCTCCTCTGGCTGTCTTCCAAGGGGCACCTTGGGCCCAAGTCTCCCTCTAGGAGGCAGTAAATGAGTCTGGCAGGCTAGAGATTTTACCCATTCTGTGGGCTGAGGTTACAGGCACCCCAGCAGTTACCCTGGTAACACCTAGAGCAGGGTTGGACTTCAGCACTTGGCAGTGGCCATGGTTGGGAGGGTCTGCACTCAGCACACGTGAGTTGGCTCAGGAAACAGTGATGCTGCGTGGAAGACACAAAAGCCTGTGGGGAATTGCAAAGTGAACAATTCTTTTTTCATGGAGCATAGGAGCATTACTACATTCAGGCTCAGAGCATTGTCAAGGGATGGACAGATCCCAGCGCAAGTCAGATTTGACTACAACCAAGAAGCTCTTAATATTAGTTAGTAACAGACAACACCCTCAAATCCCAGGCACTTGGCAGACTCAAGCTAGCTTTTAGTGTGTGCCGGGCAGAGAGCTGGTTCCACACCGGTTGTGTGGTCTGCAGGAGCTCCTGCTGCTGACTCTGTGGTGAGTGGCTGGTGGGGAGCCCCTGGGACAGTTTGTTCTGTCAGTGGACTTGGTGTCCTGTTCTTCTCTTCAAGTTTTTCCCAAGAAGAAAAGTGTTTCGGACAAACACTTGTGAGTGCCTTAAAGGTAGAGAAATGACTACCAAAGCCAAGAGAAGGGATGTGAGTGCTCGGAAGCGGTGAGAACAGATTGTGTCATAAGCAGAGCCCCTCTTGGTGAGAAGGAGAAGTGGATAGAAGGAAGGGTAGCAGTGCCCTGCGTGATGTTGTTTCATTAAGGATCCTCTACCCCAACCTTCCTGACATCATCTGTGTGGAGGTATTTATTCTGTTAGGAATCTGCTCCAAGAAAATTTCAAGCCTGTGAGTCAGAGTCAAACTTATCCAAGCAACATAATTCATGTCTTCATGAGTCCTCTTGATATCTGAGTCAGGAAAAGGCAAGGAAGCAACTACAAGAGACCTGCCCTTTTTATTCAGCATCTGAGGATTGCAGGTGCAGAAGGAAATCTCTTCAGTAAGGCATAGGGCATGCCCTGGATTAGGAAGAAAATAGTCTAGTAGTAAAGGGTCAGATATTCTCCAAACAAGGTTAATGGGTAAGTGTATAGATTCATTCAGCATGGATGGTGACTCAGATCTACAGGGTAGAAGATTTGATCCAAACAACAACAGCTTCATTTATTACAGGTATGAAAGCCTCAAGAAATTATCTTTTTGCAAAATAAATAGTAAATGATTTAACAGTCCCATATGTTAATGTTTCAAATGTATTTGTATCATAACATGTAATATAACTGTAACAAAAATATCTACAATAAATCTTTCAGTATTTATGATGGGTTTTCTTGAGTTTGGAGCACTAAACTTTGGCAGGGTTTTTCTTACATTAGGTCAGAAAGAGCTGAGAGGGGGCAAAGGTATAGCTGTTTGTGTATTTAAGTGAATGCTTCCACTTCTTTCCAAAAAGAACTTGCAGCCACATAAGATAAAGGGTTACAGTTACATGAAAATCTGAAAAAAAAAATTGGAAGATACATATTGGCCCTGGCCATAGTGATTTCTGACAGCTTGGGGCAAAGGAAAACTAACTGAGCTCAGAGCCTCCTCGAAGCCAGGACAGAGGAGCATCTCCTTCTGTCTAACCAAGAACACACTAGTTTGTCTGACAAGATAAAATGGGTCTGTGCTAAGGTCTGAAAGAAGTTACTCCTGTGATACAGTCCTGCTGTGACCATCTGCTATCACAATGGCTAAAAAATTACAGATGGTGCAGAAACATTTCAGAAATGACCACTTTTTACATCCACCCTTGCTAAGAACTAAAGGCTTTGAAAGCTTTGGTTCTTCAAAGGTAAGAAGTTCTGCGGGGAGGAAGCCCTGTGATACAATCCAAGTATGTAGCTTTCTTGGGACCAGACTTGTTTTAGTGGCAACCTTTAGAGAGTTGAATGGTCTGGAGGAAGGAGAAGAAGGGCATTGTTTAGGTCCCCTTCCTGAATGTTACTTGTGTCAGCCACGGTTTTGACAAGAGCCACAGGATGGACAGTTAAGGATAGTGTCACAGGCAGTAACTTAACTGGGGAATCCCTCTTACTGACTGAAGGAGCCTGTGTGCATGGGGCCAGTGGAGATGACCCTGCTCAGAGGGTAAGGTCCCCCGCTTGCCCAGCGTGGGCTGCAGGGCCAGGGTTCTCTCAAAACTGCTTTTTAGCATTTGGCCTAAAATCCTGGAGTTAACTACAGGTATGAAAGTATTAATATTTGTAATTTTTTTTTTCTGGGTTTGAGTCACCACAGAACAGAGAGAGGCAGGACCTCAGTCTGACTGACCACGGAGGAAAGGACCCAGGGGCTTCCCTCTGCCTGGGCCTTGTGACCGAGGCAGCCACTGGCAGTGCTAACTTTGGTTATAGAATAATTATAATAATTATATTAAACTCTTTCTTTTGACTGAAATTAGCTAACAGATTAAGCTGCATTTTTAAAAACTTTAGAGTTAATACAAAAATGCTTATTATATAGAAACTTTAGCAAAAACTGTAAGGTGTAAAAAAATTTTAAATTACTAATAATTCCCCAGGCTCAAAGGTAATCACTATTAACATTGCAGTGCATTTCTGTCTTTGTGTGTGTGTTGTGTATGACTTCGATAAGTTGTAACCACGTGGTTGGGGCTTTTACTTACCTCAGTTGCTTCTTTAGGCCACTCCAGTAACACCATGATAAGGCCTTATTAAGACCTGGAGTGAGTGGGAAGGTTTCTTCTTCAGAATCCAGATCTATTAATTAATGAAGTCTAGTAAGGAAGGCGGTTGGGGTGTTTGTGAAAAGCTGTCCATTCTGGTGCGTTCCAAAAAGGTTCTTGGGCACGCAGTATACCTTCCAGGAGGTCAAGCCTGTCATGGGCAGTGGGTGCTGCCACCGCCGCTGCAGGGCCACACTGCCAGGCCAGGGCAGCCTGCTCATCTCATCTGAGGTGCAGCAGAGCTGAGTGGTCTGGTCTGAGTGGTAAACGAATGAGTGGGCCTCCGGGCAGCTTTGAGGAGGGAAGGGCACCTCTGGCTGTGTGGTATGACACAGGCAGGGGCTACTGAGAGGGCCCAAAGCTGTAGATGAGCACAAAGCCGGCTCCCAAGGGAAGGGGTGCTTGGGCAGGAAAGAATTACAGCAGCTGTGCTTTGTTGGCCATTTACTGTAGTCAGCACCCTGCACATAAACCACAAATTCTCTTAGCAGGTTGGGGGGTATTACCCTCCCTTTGCAGATACAGAAACAGAAGCTTAAACTTCTGCCAGCTAGTGAGTGGAGAAGCCAAGATTTGAGCCCAAGACTAGCTTCAAGGACAGCCATTTCACCGTAGGCACCCCAGGGCCCGACAGGGTACAGGTAAGTGTGAAAGAGGGGAGTTGGGGGGGTTCCGTGAAATCTACACAGGACCGCAGTGCAACTGCAGCCAGAGTGAGAGTTCTCAGATCTGTGAGCCTCCAAGGGAAATAGCAGTAGCCATGACACATTACAGTCCTGTTCCCAAGAGGAGGACAAAGGAAGACATGAGAAGGCACTCAGTTTGTAATTAATTTAAAGAAATAACAAATTTAAACAGTACATATTTGCATTTTAGTAAAAACTGAGATTGTACAGTTAATCTGTTTGCTTCTCACGGAATGCCCAGCAGGCCGCCTCTTTTCTCTTAGAAACATCTAACATGCAAACCCATTGTCTGAAATAATAGAACCCTTTGTGTAACCATATGGTTTTGCTTTTCCCTTTAAAATGATTCTCTCAGACCATTTCCTTTGCTGGAATGAGGGGAAGGGCTGTGCCTGCCGGAGCTAGGAGCTAGCACCTCTGAGGGGACAGCCCCCTCACAGCCTGAGCTGGTTCTAAAACCCAAATGCCACCTCTTGTGGCTTAAGTAAATGCTCACCAGCCTAAGCCCCGTGTGGGCTGGAGGGAGATAAAGACCCAAAGGGGAGTCCTTGGAGTTTCCTTAGCAAAAACTGTCCTAAGCTTGTGCCTCTCATCTCCAAAAAGGACAGAGAGTCCTTCAAATGTTTCGAGGGCTTCTGTGCAAAGAGGGGCCCAGGCTTGTTCCCAGTGGCTGCACTGGCTGGAATTTGCTGAGAAAGTCAGGAGAGGGCCTTCCAAAGACAAAATGAGCTGCCGCCTCAACAGGTAGTGAGCTCCCTGCAATGAGATGACATTTTAAGGTCTTTCAGGGAATCAGGCTCTTGTCACCTTTCCCCAAAAAAGCTCCCAGTTCTTGGCCAGTGTGTACAGTAGTTCCCTTCTAGTCATCAGCATGTTAAGGGAACAAAACTGGAGTTAGTAATACAATGTGGGGCTCAGAAACCCACCTCAAGGTAAATGTCATTCAGTACTTCACTGATCCCAAGAAATGTTTTGTTAAAACAAGGGTCATCTTGGCCATAAAGAACTTACATCTCTCAAACTGAAACCCTATGATTGACATTCTGCTCCTTTGGGAAACATCCTGGTTACTCAGCATCATCATGAGTCACATGCAGGTGATAACCTAAGATTTCTTCTACAACCTGAATGTGTGGGGCCGTTTGCGGGAATATCCAAGGACGTTACCTTGGGTCACCATAGGTTATAAAATGATCATGAAGCCTGGGAAAACCACAAGGACGTTACTGGATCTTTCAGGGACCTGTTATGGCCATATTCCTTAGCCCCCAGGGACCAGTCCGGTTCATAGTAGAGTAGATCAAGTTCCTCAGATTTAAAAACGAGTGGCCAAAGGAGGCAATTAAAAAAAGATCCGAAGCCTCCCACACACGTCTTGAGGTGGAAGAGGGAGTTGGGGCCCAGAGTTGAGCGGGTTGGTGCCGTGTCCCTTTGTGCCTCTGTTCTGCCCGCACCTTAGGAGTGGGGTCCTGGGCTGAGAAAGGAGAACCCTTCCCACTTCTCTGACAGCAGGGAGCTGTCTGGTCCTGAGATCTCACCCCAGTCCCTGGACAGAAGTGGGTTCTGATCTCCTCTCGGTGGGCAGTCACACGTTGAGGATCCGGGGAGCTGAGGCCTGAAAGATGGCTGAGGGGTTAGGGGCGAATTTCTTCACCTCAGGGACCTGAAAAATGAAATGTGGCCATGTATCAGTGGGCCTTTTCCTCTACTTCCACCGCCCCCCCCCATCCTTTTGCTCCGAGAGTTGGGACTGCTGCCCTGAAGGGTCCAAGGCGGGGGCATCCACGGCGAGCAGAGTCACTGCATTACATCAGGGCTCATGGACCTTCTGTTCTGCTCCCTGAGCCTTTGGGTAGAACCAGGAAGCTGAATGGCTCCCACCTCCCATCTCCTCTCCTCTCTCACACAAATGCCAGGGATTTGGAAGGCCCATCACTAGTGCTCGGTGGTGAAGGGCAAGATTAGGGTTTAGGAGGGGAAAAGACATCTTGCTCCCCAGTTCATCCAGCACTAGGGGGACACACACCTGGCTAATGACAAATCACCTTGGTTTTCTGTTTGTGAGGGACAGCCAGGGGACAACCACTGTCCCTGCCATGCCATCCTACACCATCTGAATCTGACTCCTAGTGCCTAACCTGGATGAGAGGCCTCTGTCCTCACACCCCTGCAGCCAGGCGCCCAGCCCCTTGCCCTGCAGCACCAGCTTCGGGCTGACCTGGAAGCCGGCCCCAGGGCTGCCATCCCATCCGGAGCTATGGGTTGTGATGACTCTGGCAGGTTTCACCTTTGTGGATCTTGATGGCTTCACTCCAGTCCAGGCCTGGAATTCCTGTCTGAAACAGAGGACACGTCACAACCTTGCACAGGGTTGGCCATCCCTTCCCCTGACCCCTTGGGACGCAGTCCCTGCCCTGTGCTTCTGGGACTGTTCCTGCCTGGCCAGTGGTCACTGCTGAGAGCCTCCTTCCTCCCCTTACAAGGGCAGAAGTAGCAGAGGAAGTGCACTCCCCAGACAGACCCCGTTCCCAGTAACACGGGTCTGTAGCTGAGCCGCCCTTTGCTTCCAAGAGCCCCACCGTGAGGTCCCTCACCCCGACCCCACAGGAGGTAGGAGTGGAAACTTCCTCCCGAGGAGCAACAGGCACAGGCTGAGCGGTGAGTGAGTAGACAGCTGTCAGCAACCAGATCTTACTCGTGCCTAACTGCAAGCACCTGGCATGTGCTAGGCCTCAGAGACAGCACATTCCAGTGCTGGCTGTGGTCTCCAGGCCACTTCAAGGGGCCCTAGAGGGCCAAGACCAGTGAAGGTCGCTTGCCTCCAGCCCACTTCACTGGTGGCTCTTATATCCAGAGGTGCCGGCCTGGATGGTGCACAGCACAGTCCTCCATACCCGGTGACGACCGAGGAGGAAAAATGGGGCTCAGTGTTATGTTTACTTTTTAATAATTTGTCTTATTAACTCCTGCAAAAGACTAAACTGTAGTGATCATCTCAAGAAATCTACAAGATGGCCCTCTGTGTGCTCTTTTGATGAAGACTTAATAACTCTAAACAAAGAAGGCCTACTTTAATTCTGTCAACTCCCCTACTAAACAGTGAGTTCAGGAAGGCAGAGACCTCCTGTGCCCATAGGAGCCCCTGGCCAAGGTGCTGTTCTGTGGAAAAGTGTCCGGCTGGCCAGAGGCAGCACCCACGTGTGGGCTGGGTCTGTGCCTATTTCATCCCATCCACCCTTGAGGTCAACAAAGCTGCCTTTTCTCCTTGGCAGCAGCCCAGCTGGGCACCACTGGGCAGGCCACGTGTGCAGAGAACAGCTGTGTCTGTCCGTGGACAGCACTTGGGTGCCAGGAGGCAAACTGGGCCAGAGCCCTATCAGATAATTTTTGCTTCTGAAGCTGCAAGATTTCAAAGACCAGCTGCCCAAGCCATCTGCTGCTCTGTTTCTCCTGGGGAGGCCAGTCCTCCCCTGGGCCTGCCCTTCTGTTCCCAAACTGAGCTGAGCCTTAGGCCTGGCAGCCCAAGCCTACTGCCCCAGGGTGGCTGCAGGGGTCCCAGAGCAGGAAGCGACCAGGGCTGGGGGCTCCAGCACAGCCTGTGGCTGCTCCTGGGGCGAGGCTGCTGCTGGAGCCCAGGTGAGAGCAGGGCCTGCAGTGAGAATGGAGAAGGGACACTGAAGATAGAATTGGCATGGCCTGGTGACCGCCCAGATGAGGATTGGCTCTGGCTGAGGAGAGAGTAAAAGTACAGGACTAGCTGGGTCCACTGTGCCTCCCCTCACCAAGCAGATTCCACCATCATCCACCTCGTGTGAGCCTCAGCTGGACGCTGAGCCCAGACTGAGGATCCCAAAGCCTGGGTTCTCAGCCCAGCACAGCCTCAATTAAATCCCTTAACTTCTCTGGGCATCCAGTTGGGCACTTGGAAAAGTGGGAGTCAGGTCTGGCACTTTGCCTGTTAGTTCTTTATCTGACCCATCCAGAAAGGAAAGAGATGACTGAGGAAGGAGCTCTTCCAGAAGTGAGTGGAGCTGGAACCTGGGCCAGGGGTGCTCACACACACACACAGAATTCTGGAGGGGAGGCTCTGGAGGAGCCGGTCAGGAGGAATGACCCAGGCTGGCAGTGGGCAGGATCCACTGCCCATCTGGCCAAGCAAGTGAGGCAAGTCAGTTCTCACCTGGAGACCAGGGGTCTGGAGAGGACCTGCTGGGGTGGAGAGGAGTAGCCACAAGTACTGCTATTTTTGGGTTCTCTGGATCTGTTCATTGTCTTTGCTTTGTGAATTTCTTAAACAAACAGTTTGCTTAGGTATTGTGCATCTTGCAGGAAGGCAGATGGGATGGAGTTGCTCATGCCAGTAGTAGAGCTGGGGGGTGGAGGGTCCCAGAGGTCAGCTGGTGTGGTGCTGGGGGAGCCAAGTTCAGCAGTGGTCCTGCGTCTCTGCCAGGTGACCCATCTGCTTTACAGATGAGGAAAGGGTCAGAGGGGCCAAGTGACCCACCAGGTTTATACATCAGGAACTAAGAGCCCCATTGAGTCGCAACTCTTATTAGTACTTTTCCACCACTGCAGGACACAGGTCAAGAAGCTACCTGATTCAGAGGAGGCAGCAACTTAGGGAGCGATAACCTATTGGGGGCACAAACTTGGTCTCTGAGGCAAGACATACTTGGGTTCCACTCTGCTTTGCATGACCCTGTCCCAGCTGCTCAAGTTCCTCATCCATAGAATGGGAACAGCAAGAACTGAACTGATTCCAGAGGGTTGTTGTAAAGTCTTGGGGAGATGATCCTTGGGAAGTCCTAAGCCTGGTGCGTGCTAAGCAGAGAGTAATAACTAGTACCTTTAGTATCACTGGAGCTGGGAGGATTCAGCAGGATGTTCAAACCCACCATCTGCTCAACAAGGGTGAGGGGCTGCTTTTAAAAACCCAGCCTTTGCTTGGACACTCCAGGTGAGCAGGAGCTTAGCACTGCATGAGGCTCACCCACTGCAGTCAATTCTAATTATTAGAAAGTGTTTCCTTCCCTGAGCTGAAGCTATCTCCCTGCAAGCTCTGCCCCTTGTCCACTCCTGGCACCTGGATCATCAGCCATTTGAAGCCGCTGCACACCCAGGACCTCTGGCCTTCCAGGCCCATCACCATTCAGCCCTTCCAGCTGGTTCAGGGACCCCGTCATGCAGCAGTCAGTACTGTCCACTGCCTGGCTAGGGCCCCAGCGCTGCGGCTCAGTGCCTGCCCTGCGCCTGACATCCCCATCTGTGTTTCTGCAGCTCAGCTTGAACACGTGTCCCTGAACACAAGACCCAGCCTGCAACAGCCCCTCCCCACTGAGTTCTTAAAACCTGCATGGCTGTCTCTGGGGAGATGAGATGTTCTACATATCTTGATTATGGTGGTGATGCCCAGGTGTATATAAAAGTCATCCAGCTATATACACTTACAATGGATGAATTTTCCTGGATGGAAATTATACCTCAATACAGTTGGCTTTAAAAGTAATAAAACTGAAGGGGAAATTTCATACCTTTTGGCCCTTTAATTTTAGTATAAATGCCTACCTGTGGAATTATGATATAAGCAAAGATTCAGCTACAAAAATGCTTATCATAGAAGTTATTTTTTAAGCACTGATTCAAAAAAGTAGAGCGAAAAGCCACTCAGTCTCCTTCCATCCTAGCAGCATCCGTAACTCCTTCCCCTTCTTCCACTCCCTAAAGGTTACCATTTTCTCACACATCCATCCAGAGTCATGCTATGCTTATTTGAGCAGACATGTATATATTAATAACCCCTTTAAAAACACCCATAGTAGCAGATACACTGTTCTGCATCTTTTTTGACAAGTACCTATGGAAGATCCTCTATTATAATCAGTACATTCTGGGCTTCCCAGTAGCCCATCCTACAGCAGAGCTATAATTAACCAGTCCCCACATCAGTAGGACAGTCAGACTGTTTCCATTTTCTGCTGTACAGTGTTGACACATCTTATACTCCTTAGCTCCCACCCCCAAGAATATCTGTAGGGATAATTCCTGCAAGTGAAATAACTAGATCAAAGGAACAGTAAATAGCCCCAAGTTAGAAATACCTTAAATAGTCAATGATATGAGTAGGTTAATATTTGGACATACATATCAATATACGGATAAATGTGTATTAATAAGAAAATACTGCACGTTCATTAAAATTGGTGCTGTAAAAGAACATCTAGTAACATCCACAATACATGGGAGAAAAAAATCGTGTATAGTAAGAATCTAACCATCTAAGAATTATAAATGGATATGCACTTAAATGCATATTAAGGATTAGAAAGAACTACCAGTTTGGGGTAGGATTAAGGGCACACTCATTTTCTATGTTGTAATTTCCGGGTTTTTTTTTTTCTTTACAGTGAGTATGTATCACTGTTATAGTAAGAGAAAGGGAGAAAGCCTTCAGTTGTTCAGGGGCAGAGCCCAGGAGGGGTGTGTGGGTGGGGAGGATCCATGGACCTGTTCTCAGTGAAAGCCACATCAGTTACCCTCACTCAGTAAGATCCTAAGGGGACCACCCACTCAGAAGCCTTGCATTTGGTCCTCACTGCCAGTGTCCCTACAAAGGGCACTGGCCAGAGGGAGCTCGGGCAGTTGGCCTCTGCTCACCCCTCCTATGGCTAGGTCCACTTGGTAGAAGGTAAAGGGGAAGAGAAGTAAATTTTAACTCAGTCTAAGGCAGCCTTTCTGACATGATTATCCTAGAGGGGAGCGGGCTGAGTGAGGTAGTGAACTTCCTGTCAAGGAGATGCTAGCTCACTCCCAGTCTGGTCAGGGAACAACGAAAGAGACAGGAGACGCCTGCAGTGCCAGGGACCAAAAGGGATGACCTCCGAAGCTGCCTGCACCTCTCCAAGTCGTGTGGGATGGGGGCTCCAGGAGCCTCCTCTCTCCCTCCCACCCTGGACCTCTTAGCTCCCGAGCTGTCTCGCGGACCACAGGGTCTGGGTAGGATGCCCTCCCCTGCCCCCAGCCCTGTACCTGTACGATGTGGTCACTGCTGTAGCTGCGCCTGAGTCGCCGATGGGGAGCACGTAGACCCCCCGGCTCGGGGGTGCGGGGGGCTTGACCCTGCGGCCACCCGCCCCTGGCCGGCGCCCCTGCGTTGCTTCTCTGGGCCCGGGGGGCGCCGTCCACACGCCGAAGTCCCGCTGGTACTGAGTGAGCGGCACGTCCCGGCCAGGGTCCCGGGCGCCTGCGGGGGACGGGCCCCTGCGCGAAGCGGCGCCACCTGGGCCGGGCTCCTCACTCTCGAGGTCCGAGTAGTTGTGCAGGGTCAGCGGCACAGCCACGTCGGAGCGGTCCAGCTGGTTCCAGCGCCGCGCCAGGCAGCAGAGGCGGCTGATGCAGGGCCACGCCATGCCGGCCCGGCGCCCG